TTTCCTACTAGGTGCTCTCAGTTTCATGAAACTATAGCTTTTTAATAATAAACTATAAAAGTCCTACAACCAATTACTCTGGTTGAGTGACCAACTTTTCTTATGGATTAATAATATGAGGACTCTTCTTTAGCACTCTGAATAGCCACTGTTTCTTTGCCACTGCTTCTTGCCATCTCCAGTGTTACAGCTCTCTCTCTGTCTCCTTGGTCTAGTAGATTCTCAGGCCAGGGGTCCTGGGTCCAAGGACACGCTGCACTCCTGGTTCTTCTCTCTCGGTAGTTGTGAAGTCTCCCCTTCCCATCTCTAGAATGGCTCATTTTAAGCCAACTTGGGTAGAAAAAATGACCAAGCCCCTTGTTAGGGTTCCATATACTTTATTTGCACCCCACCAAAGGTATCATGCACTTTATTTACTTATTATTAGCAAGCTATCTAATCCCCATTCACCATCCCAAGCACCTCATTTGCATAGGCTTACCTAGTCATTTGGTGATAGATACAAAGACTATGGCCAGAAAGCCCACATTAAGTAATTTATTGCACCACACGTGTAGGTGATAAAAGCTATTGTAGGATTTGGGGTAAAGGAATAATATGGTCACAAATATTTTGGAGAACTAACTCTGACAGGATAGAAGATGGATTAGGTGGGAATCAGTCTTCATGTAATGAATATGATACCAGAAAACATATTCAGTATTCAAATGAAATACTAAATTAGAAACTGGAAAAATTTCCTATTGTCTTTGTATTATGTCATAGAAAATAATGCTTCAACAAATAAAAACAATAGAAAAGGTCTAAATTTTCTAGGACACAATCTCTTGCCATTCTCACACCTGTGTAATGCATTATAGCAACATGTCTTTGTACTTACTATTGTCCTTCTGTGAATACTGCCTCACATTGAACATTTATTGAGGGCCTATTATATACTGTTGGAGCTCTGGTGGTGTGTAGTGGTTAAGGCATTTGGCTGCTAACCAAAAGGTCAGTGGTTTGAATTTACTAGCCATTCCACGAAAGAAAAATGAGGCAGTCTGCTTCCATAAAGATTTACAGCCTTAGAAACCCAATGGGGATCTTATGAGTTGGAATTGACTCAATGGTAGTGAGTTTATTTTGTGCCCTTATTTGGGTAGGAGGGATCTCTGGTGGTGTGGTGCCTAAGGCATTTGACTGCTAACCAGCTAGCTGGTGGTTCAAACCCACTAGCCACTCCTCGGAAGGTTGGGCAATCTACTTCCATAGTGACAATGCCTCAGAAACCCAAGGAGGGGTAGCTATCAGTCAGATCCGACTAAATGGCAGTGAGTTTGGTTTTTTGAGATTAGGGCAGGAAGATGCAGTGATGAACAAGATTAAATTGGTCCCTGTCCTAATGGAGCTTATAATTTAATGGGGTTAGGGGAAGAGATATTAAGTAATACCTCACATAAATGGTATAATGGTAATGTGGAAAAGTGTTAGAAAGGTGGAGTTCAGAGTGCTGTGTGTGGACAGAAGAGGGGCTGTAACCTAATCTAAAAGGTTAGGAAAGTAACATCAGAGAAAATGATTTTTCAGCTGAGACCTGAAGAATTAACAGGGTTAATTAGGAAATCAGCGACTTGGGAAGGTGATATATGTTTCAGGAAGAGGAAACACCTTGTCCTTAGGGCCTGAGTTAAAGGAAAATGATCAGGAAACACAACAGAGGTCTCTGTGATTGGAGGTTAGTGAGCAAGAGGGAGAGGTCGCCATTATGAAGTGGGAGAGGTAGGCAGAGAGGCCTTACAGCTCACAGTGATGTTTTTGTACTTTATTTTAAAAAGCAATGGAAAGTCATTGAGCAGTTTTAAGGATGGCAGTGAGGGGTGTGGTTGCATGATCAGATTCATGTTTAAAAATAATTTCGGCTGCTTTGTGTAGAAAGCATTGTAGTACAGGGGGGCAAGGTAGAAGACTGAAAAGTCATTTTTTACTGAGATTACAGGGAATGCTAGAGGAGAAGCAAGTTTGCAGGGAAAGATCAGGAGTTGTTGTGAAAGTACTTTTTCTGTGGATTTTTGTTCCTTAACTCAGAAATTCCCACCCTTAGATTTTGCTCTAAATTACCCTTTTGTGAAGTTACTCTCATGGTCTTTATTTTCCCCCATCTCCAGGAGGGCAGTAAAATGTGCTTTTGTGTCGTTTGGTAAAGTCTTCTCTTACTGTTTATCTCTCTATTTTATAATTGTTTGTGTACTTGGCTGTCTCTCCTACCAAACTATGATTTCTTTGGCAGGGAAATGACTTGTTTGTTTGGTGTTCCTTGAATCTGGAGAAATATTTCCTAAAATGTTTTTCACTGAATTATGTATGTTAAAGGGTTCTTTTATTTTAAATCTGGATAATGCTGTGTTATGTTAACATTTCTTTACTATAGGATTTTTCAGAACCTTTTATATTCTAAAGTGGATCGTAAATCTTTGGGATTTTGTTTTCTGAGCATCTCTCATTATTCGTGTTGAGGGTAAGAGATGGAAAAAGGGACGTTTTGTGGGAAACGCTGATTTGGGCATGTGCCTGACACATATTCAGAGGGAAAAAAATAAAGCAAAGAAACACTGTCATTGAGTTGATTCTGACTCATAGCGACCCCATAGGACAGAGCAGAACTGGTCCATAGGGTTTCCAAGGCTGTAAAGCAGACTGTTCATCTTTCTTCTGCAGGTGGCTGGTGGATTCAAACTGCTGACCTTGTGGTTAGCAAATGAATGCCTTAGCCACTGCACCACCAGAGCTCCTTGCCTGACACAGAGTAGGCACATAAGGTACTGAGTGTGGATCACATGAAAAGCAAGCCTGTTGATGTCTATGGTTGAATGCCTCTGGATGCATTTAGAAAGCTCATTTTGCCTTTAGTTGCTGCAATTCTCTTTCTTTTACTATCAGTGATCAAAACAGACATCAAAAGATGAGAATTTGCTATCAGTTGTTTGTTCCTGCCAAGCTAAAAAAGATAGGTGGCATGAGGTGACAAATTTTCTTCTGATTCTTTGTAGCTAAGATAGAAGAGCTGAACAAAAAATTCTTTGGTCCTTTTATTTATTAACTTCCAACATCAAAACGGTGCCTTTCTTATACCACCTGGGTTGTTCGTAAAATAAACAGTTATATTAGTAACTTTTTGTTTTTTTTTTGGTTAAAGAAATAAATGCTCGGTATTCTTCTAAGGCTATTTATAGTTTGTTTTAGAGAGTTGGCTGCTGTGATACAGAACCTAGAGTTCAGGGAAATATTGACAGGATAGACTAAACGGGGAAAACGCTGTTGCTCTTTTTTTAAAGAGTATATGAATTTATCTTAGAGGGGACTTTTAATTTTTTTCAAAAGTTAGAGTATTCAAGGTAGTTCATTTTTAGAGTGTTACTTAATAGAAGGTTTTGCTAGGAACTATGGACTCAAACAGGAAATAAATATTTGTTTTTAAATTTAGATTGTATTTTGTAATACCAGATGTCATTATTTTGTGTTCTATTCATTAACAAGCTCTAACTACTGGTAACTTTCTTAATTGTCATGTTGGAATGAGTAGAAGCCTTTGCTCTGTAGAAGTAATAATGAAAATACTTCTGTAATCTTTTTCTAACTTGTTTTCCACTTGACTGATGTAAAATACAGACAAGCCCCGTGTTACAAACGAGATCTGTTCCTAAATGTCTTTATGTGGAATTTGTAGGTGGTAGGAACAGGTGCATGTGATTCTTAGTGCAAGAAAAGGCTTGAAGCTGCAAGCCTTTTCAACGATTTAAAAGCTGCACGTGCAGGAAGTGAGGGTGATTGTGATGAAGAATTTGTTGCACATAGGGATTGGTTCAGTAGTTTCAAAGTGAGGACAAATTTATATAACATTAAAAGGCAAGGAGAAGCTGTCCATAAGTAGGTCAGATGTTCAAGTGGGACATAATAACCCAGGGACTGCCTACACAGCCAGGATTATTAGGATAAAGATGTCATAACCACATTTATATCTCTACTTCCACATCTGAATTTATGTTTTCATTTACTCTCCCACCTTTTCTTATTGCAGATGTTTGTTTCTAAATTGGAGTGGCTTTGGGTGGCAGGGAAAACGTGAATCATCTTTAGTCCTGCTATCAGAAGGGTTTCATCAGCCCCTGTCATCAGTTTACAATTTCCTTGGCTACCAGGGCCAATCTTTACAAGTGAACCTCTGATGTCACTATAAAGAGCTGATTGTTATCTGTGAATAGAGATGATTTTTACATTTATTTTCAGAAACTACTAGGGAAAGGAAAAATAATTGCTGAATACTCTTAGCAGCAGTGATAGGGACTGTGAGAATAAAAGGTGGTAATCTTTTAGCGAGGAAAACAGCTGCAGTATTTCGATGCTAATTCCTTTGATATCAAGCCAGTCATCTCTGTGTTGTACATACCTTTACACAAAAACCCTGGTATAAACTTTTCTAAGGTGCTTTGGTGGTATGGTGGTTAAAGCATTGGGCTGCTAACCAAAAGGTGGTTGTTGTTATATGCCGTCGAGTCGGCCCCGACTCATAGCAACCCCTCCTTGGGTTTCCGAGGCGGTATCACTACAGAAGTAGGATTGCCCAACCTTCCTTCCGAGGAGTGGCTGGTGGGTTTGAACCGCCAGCCTTCTGGTTAGCAGTCAAGTGCCTTAGGCACTATACTACCAGAGCTCCTAACCAAAAGGTGGGCAGTTCAAATTCACTAGCCACTCTGTGGGAGAAAGATGAGGCAGTCTGCTTCTGGAAAGATTTATAGCCTTAGAAACCCTATGGGGATCACTATGAGTTGGAATCACTTGGTAGCAGTAGTTATTTTAAAAAAAAAAACCTTTCTAGATCTGGAAATCTGCAGCTGCAGTCACAGTTCAGGGCATATATTTTTTTTTTTTTGTATACTTCATCCTGAACTTTGGGCTCCTGATAAAGCATTTGTTGTCCAGGAAAATCATTTTAACTGTAGAAACTCCCACATTTGTTTCAGGTCGGTCTTCTCTCTTTCCCTTTGAAGATGCCTTCCTGGATGACAGCCATGGCGATCAGTCCTTACCATCTGGTTTAAGTTCTCCCACTCGCTGTCAAAATGGGGAACGGGTGGAACGCTACTCTAGAAAGGTGTTTGTTGGAGGCCTTCCTCCTGATATTGATGAAGGTACTATGCATGCATTAATAATTTTATAAAGGTCAGGTTTATGCTCTGTGTGATCTGACCATGCCTCTCCTATTCAAAGCAGCTTTAGGACATTTATTTCTTAGTGTATAGGAGGTGAGAATATTTAATAGCCAAGGAAATAATAGATTGTACATTTCAGGGCTGTTGTTTATATATGGCAACAAAGCAGTCACCCAACAGCTTCATGTTTCCTAGTTACTAATTTGGGGTACATTTTAAAATAATCATGAGAACTAATATTTAAAAGACTCACATTGTAAACCTGCTTTTGTGCTAAGCACTTCACGTTACAGTTACATTATCTCATTTAATCCCCACTGTCTAATGCCTAGGAGCACTCCTTGGAAGGAAGGTTGGGCAATCCTACTTCCGTAGTGATACTGCCTCGGAAACCCAAGGAGGGGTCGCTATGAGTCGGCGGGGGGGGGGGGGGGGGGGGGGGGGCGACTCGACGGCAAACAACAACAACAACATCATCTAATGCCTAAGGCATTTGACTGCTAACCAGAAGCCTGGCAGTTCAAACCCACCAGCCAATTCTTGGAAGGAAGGTTGGGCAATCTACTTCCATAGTGATACTGCTTCAGAAACCCAAGGACCAAGGAGGGGTCACTATGAGTCGGGTCCTGACTCCACGGCAGTGCATTGCATTTTGTTGTTGGTATCCTATAAGGCATATCCTAACATTTCTTTTTTTATAGAGATGAGGAAACTGGGGATCAGAGAGAGAATTTATCCAGGGTAGCTAATGGTAAAGTTGGAACTCAAAATCAGTCTGACTCTAGAGCTTTTGCTCATTTTCATCACACCATGTTATGTCACTGCCATTGAATCGATTCAACTCATAGCAACCCCTCCTTGGGTTTCCGAGGTGGTATCTCTACAGAAGTAAATTGATTGCCCAATCTTCTTCTGAGAAGTGGGTGGTGGGTTTGAACCACCAGCCTTCTGCTTAGCAGTCAAATGCCTTAAGCACTACACCACCAGAGTTCCCATCACACCATACCATCTCACATTTTAATATAAATAGCTATTAACGAAAAGAATAATCTCTTCTTGCTTTTAAAAAAGAGCTCTGGTGGCACAGTGGTTAAAGTACTAAGCTGGTCGCTGAGGTTGAAAGTTTGAACCGACTTGCTACTCTTCTGGAGAAAGATTAAGCAGTTTGCTTCTGTAAAAATTTACAGCCTATGAAATCCTGTGGGGGCAGTTCTACTCTGTCCTGTAGGGTCACTATGAGTCAGAATTGACTTGACAGCAGTGGGTTGATTTTGCCTTTAAAATGATGAAGACTAGTTAGAATTTTTCATAATAGAACTATTTTTGAGCTACAACCAATGCAAAGATGAGTTTTCACCTATGACTAAAGGCAATGGAAGTATTCATGTCAGCACGTAGTAGGTTGCCAATAAATATTTGTTGAATGGACAATGAGAGAAAATTGTGAACAAGTTAACTTAAGAGAAAAAATAGCAATGCTAGTTCCAGCAGACTGGATATGGTCCAAAAACTATTATCAAGTCTGACTTGTTTTACCAACATTATTCTAGCTGTCACATTTCCCTATTTTATCTTTTTTTTTTTTTAATAAGAGGAGAATAGTATCTAAAAGCAGTTATTATTTAGACTTATTCCATTAAAGTTGTACATAACTAGAGACTTATTTTCCTTCAAATTGTTCTTGTATTAGTGTTAATTTCATCTGTCAATTGGATTTTTTTAAGACATATTTTTTTATCATGACTGAGAGAGTGATAACTTAAACCTAAGTAGAACCAGATTTAAGTTATACCTTCTTGCTTTGAGTCAGAAGTCAGAAGGTTGAGCTATAATTAAAAAAAAAAAAAGTTGTGTAGGATGTATATATATGAGAGAAAAAGACTTAAAAATATTCTTATCAACAAATAGAATTATCTTATTTCCTCGTACACCTTAACAAAAGAATCATATCTATTTCTAAAATAACCTTAGAGATTTTACATAAGTGGAAGCCTATTTTAAAAATGAAATATTTTGTGTCCCTTTGCCTTTTTTCTCAAAACAGAGAACATCCCTATTTTTAGAATCTTTTTTTCACTTGACATAGAAGTCACCTTAGCTAATATCTTTTTTTTCTTCCAAAGTCTGTATGTCAACTTATTGGTAGTGAAGGGAAATGAATTATAGTTAGAAATACACTTTGCATGGTAGTGAATAACCAAATATATGCCAAGCAATGGTATTTTACTTAGTAGATTTGACTGTAAAAATGCTTAGAAAATAGCTCTTAACGTTTTTTTTTTTTTAAATAAAAATACTTGATGCTTCTCATTTGCAATATTTCTTCTCTTTTGCTGAGATTCTTTCTTTGTTTTGTAGATGAGATCACTGCCAGTTTTCGCAGGTTTGGACCTCTCGTGGTAGACTGGCCTCACAAAGCTGAAAGCAAGTCCTATTTTCCTCCTAAAGGTAATGTGCTTGAAATGTCTCCACTACCTGCCTCTTGCAGAGCTAGCGTGACAGTTCAATAAAAGGCAGCCTTTTAACTCTTGAAAAAGCTGTTGATTTTTTTCCCCCCAATTAAGAAACATTTTCACATTGATCATCATTTTGTATATTACTGTTTCATCCTTGGAGACTAGTCTCCCAGGAGCACACTGGTGGTTTCACGGCATTTATGTTATTCACAGTGAGGTCCTGTGCATCTTTTGTGGAGGAGGCTTGCATTTGTTGAGAGAAGAGATGAAGGATTTGAGGAATGTCAGCTATGGGAAAGGAAAAGATTGTTTAGGGTCAAATTCCATTTATTTATTTATTTATTTTTCGGTTTAGCCCTGTGTTTTCATAGATTTTATTAATCCCATACTTGGACAACCTAATGACTGAAGAATGGCATTCTGTGAAATTATCTTTAACCACTTGTGTGTCTTAAACTACTTACCCTATTGAGGGTGGAGAGCAAATTAGCAAGACTCTTCAAATGACCTTGTCTGCCTTATTTTTAAAGGCTATTTTGATAGTTTATGAGGGCATGAAAAGATACTGTCAGTTTTGCTGAATCTAGGGAACTTTCTAGGTGAGATTGACTCTGTGTTCCCTAGATTTATGTCCAAGTGTTTTGGGTTAAAGGGAAAGTTTTCTTCTTGTGTTTTGTGCTGTAATTGTATTTCAAGTGGGGCTTTCATTTCTACAGAGTTGTTTTTTATGTTTTATTGGGTAACATTACTCACATCAAGAAGGTGGAGTCATAATGGTTGTCCTTTCTGTACCTTGTTCAGGAATCTAATTATAGTTTAACCTGGGAAAGGAGAGTCATTTTATTCTATGTCGCATTATTAGGTTTCTTTGTCATTAATTACTTCTTTGGTATACCCTCTTTAAAACCCATGAAAGTAAGTAACCGGAGGGCTGTTTGTTTGCTTTTAACATTCTTCTGTTAATTCTCTCCAAGAATTTTTTAAGTTAAAAAAACAAGTTTATTAATTAGAAAAGATAAAAATCATAATGCTGACATGATTAGAATAAATGATTCTGGGATTAAATATATCAGATGATCACTGTGAAAAATAAAGATAAAGATGAAATCATATTTTTTGAACTCATGTCCCAAAAAAAAAGTACATATTGTCTCAAATCTACTTCTCCTAGAGATAATCATGATATGAATTTTATTAAATAACTTTCTGATATTTTTTATGAATATAGACATTCATATGAAATTTTATATAAGTCAGATTATGCTATACATGCTGTTCAATAACCTGCATTTTCTTTTCCCTCCCAACAATATCAACATCTTTCTGTAACAAACCTACGTTATTCTTAATCACTTTAATTTATTTATTCAATCCTATTAAAGTACATTCAAGTTGCATCCAGTTGTTTTCTCTCATAAATCATATTTCTGTGAATATCCTGGTGTTTTCATTTCTTGTGCTCACTTCATAGGGTGAATTTCTAGAAGTGAAATGATATGTTTATGCATATTGTTAAGCTATTCTTAAGAAAAAGTAGTAACATTTATGTCTGGTTTATAAAACTCAATTTTGTTGTTGAGAGCCTGGGAAAATAAATTCTTACCTCATTCCATTACCAATTTTATGATATAAAACAAACTTTGTTTTGCATCTTTTTCCTTTCTTTTTACTGGCCATTTGAATTTCTTATCTTGTCAACTTTATATCCTTTGTCTGTTTTTATTTTGGGTATTTGTCTTTTTGTATTAAGGATTTTATAAAGCACTTTGATCCATGTTTATAATATTTACCCCTATTTGCCATTTACTTTTCAATCCTGTATAGTGTTTTTTATGGTGCCAATATTAATTTTTTTAACTCCTTTTTAAAAAGTGGCATTGTGTATACATGTATAATTTACTGCCATGGAGTTGCTTCAACTCGTAGCAATCCCTCCTTGGGTTTTCAAGGCGGTATTACTACAGTAGATTGCCCAGTCTTCCTTCCGAGGAGTAGCTAGTGGGTATGAACTGCCAGCCTTCTGGTTAGCAGTCAAATGCCTTAGGCACTATGCCACCAGAGCTCCCCCATATCCATATGTGTGTGTGTGTGTGTGTGTGTGTGTGTATGTATACAAAAGCATTTGCTATTTTGTTATTTCAACCATTCTTTTACATGTGCAATTCACTGACATGATTTACATTCCCCATGTTATGCCACCATCATCACTGTCCACTTCCAATTTTGCTCATCACCCTTTGTAGTTATTCATGCACTCTAGTGGTGTTTAAGGCATTTAGCTGCTAACCAAAAGATTGGTGGTTTGAACCCACTAGCCACTCCCTGGAAGAAAGATGAGGCAGTCTGCTTCCATAAAGATTTATAGCCTTGGAAACTCACTTGGGGGCTGTGAGTCAGAATAGACTCGATGGCAGTGGTTTGGTTTTTTTGTGGGGGGAGGTTTGTAGCTATTCAGTTCCCCTTAAGCAGTACCTCTGCATCTCCCTCTCTGGCTTGCCCTGAAAGTCACTAATAACCTTCAGTCTCTATGCATTTGCCTATTCTGGGTATTTTCTATAAATGGGATATTTGTCCTTTTGTGTCTGACTTATTTCACTGAGTATATTGTGTTCAAGGTGTGTATATAAGTTTTCACATAATTAAATTTACCAATCTTTTTCATTACGGTTTCTGATTTTTTGTGATGTGCTTACAAGGTTTTCCCTGCTGCAAGACAGTAAGAAAATATTGTTGTTTGTTGTTGTTATCAGTTGCCTTTAAGTCAATTCCAATTCATGGCAACCTCATATGTGTAGAGTAAATTGTTCCATGGGGTTTTCAGGGCTATAACCCTTCAAAAGCAGATCTTTAAACCACTAACCTTTTGGCTAGTTGTCGAGTGCTTAACCATTTTGAACCACCAAGGGACTCCTTAAGAAAACATTACTCTTGTTTTTTTCCTAATGCTTTCATTATTTTGTTTTTTACATTGAAATCTTGTTTCTATCTGGAATTTATGTTGGAATAAGGCACAAGAAAAGGATCCAACTTTATTTTTTCCAGGTAACTTACCAGTTTTCCCCAAAGTATTTATTAACTAGTCCACTTCTTCCCCATTGATTTGAATTAATAAACATTGGTTGGAAGGTCATCTCTTCTGTTTCTCTATGAAATGTACAAGTTTCCCTGGAACTGCACTGTCCAGTACGACAGTCATTAGTCACATATGGCTGTTGAGCACTTGAAACATGTCTAGTTTGAATTAAAATATGCTGTAAGTATAAAATATGCACTGGATTTCAAAGACATAGTTAATTTTTTTTTAAATCTCAGTAATTTTATTTTTGTTCATTACATGTTGAAATAATTTTTGACTATGTCAGATTAAAGAAAATCTATTAAAATTAATGTCATCTGTTTTTACTTTTTTTAATGTGGATACTTTAAAATTTTAAATTACATCTGTGACTCACATTATATTTCTGTTTACAGCATTTCTCTAGAATTGTTGTTGTTGTTGTTGTTATGTGCTGTTGAGTAAGCCCTGACTCATAGCGACCCCTCCTTGGGTTTCTGAGGCATCAGTAAACAACCTGTTTTTTGTATGTCCTGTGAGCTAACAATGATTTTCACATTTTTAAGAGTTGTTAAAAACACACGTATAAAGAAGGACATGTGACAGAGATTATATGTGGCCCACAAAGGCCATTACAGAAAATGTTTGTTGACCCCTTCTTTATAATACCCTTCAGAAATGTTCATTTAGGCTCTGAGACATCCAGTAACTAAGGAGGCAGTTTCAGAGGAAGTCTATATATTTTCAGACCTAACTAATTTTTTTTTTTTTTCCGTTGAGTCAAGTCCTTCCCTGTAATTTTTACCTGTTGGTCAGTTGTGTCTTATAATGTCAAACAAAATTACATCAATATAATATCCATCAATATCAGTTTCTCCCTAATTCCCAAACTAAATTTTTCTACTTCTTTCAGTTATTCCTTATATCTAATGGTTTCTGGATCACTGTTCTTGTCTGCGTTCTCTGTATATGTGTCACATTTACAACGTCCTACTGTAGTTTGTTGCTAAATTGGCGAGAGAACATTAGGATCAGTCTGAGCAGGACAGAATTTAACAGCTCTAAGACCTCTGTGGACTTTGGTACCACTTCTGTATAATAGTGTGATAATATAGAATTACAGAGCATCAGAGCTGGTACTCTTGTTTTATAGTTGAGATTAAGCATTGGGACGGATCAGTGAGATTTAGGTAAGGAGGCTAATCTGGATCTCCTGATTCTAGTCCTTAGGCTTACATCCTCAGAGATTGCCTTTCTGGTGATTGAGTTCAAATGCAAAAAACCAAACCCACTGCTATTGAGTCAGTTCTGATTCATAGTGACCATAAAGGACAGAGTAGAATTGGCCCATAGGGTTTTCAGGGCTATAAATCTTTATGGAAGCAGACTGCTGCATCGTTTTGCCCTGGAGTGGGTGGTGGAGTCAAACCGCCAACCTTTCAGTTAGCAGTCAGGTGCTTAACTACTGTGCCACCAGGCTCCCAGTTGGGCTCAGGGAAGTAAAATAATAATTATGCTTCTGGTTCCTATTGTGTTTTGTTCTCAGCTAAAATCTAAAGGTTGACCTGTTTTGGTGGAACCCAAAGAAATTTGATATTATTCTAAGATTGAAGTAACTTTGAAAATCTATGCCCATTGCTTTGAATGTTGGGAACACTTAAGTAGTTCACCTCAGACTGTTTGTGCCTTCTTGGTAATGCCCCATCATGCAGTTTGTATTTTGTTGTTGTTATTGTTGTTGTTAAATTCCTTAGGTTTTAATTCAGATCTTTGCCATTTTGATAAGACTTCCTCTCACTGATTATACTTTTAAGTTACTTAGGCCATTTGGTTCAGTTAGTCTGCTGTGTGTTTTAGGTTTCTGGTAAGTAGGGAGGAAGGCATGAGCCATCTACTCTCAAATCCTTTGGCCCTTCTCTAGGAAAGTGTGTTGTCAG